CCAGGCTCCTGATCCTGTCGTGACTCAAACTTCATCGACCACGGCTTTTCATTTAAGCAGATCTTTGCCTCTTTGCTTGCCCACATTTTGTACCTTTCGGTTTCTGCCATGAGACTTTCACGAGCAAGAAATACAGCCTCAAAGTGAACGGTTAAATACACTCGCACGCTTTGAGTGACCCTTATTTATTATCGTTTACTTAGACATTTTTAATTCTTGTTTATAATCCTTGTTTTCCTAGTTGTCGGGTTGTTTCGGGTTCTTTCCTTGTAAAGTTATTTCGGTATCTGGGGGCGGGGGGGAGGGGTGGAAGTCTGTGCCCTTTTGCTTTCTTTTGTAATACTAATTATTATTATTAATAATAATATTATTGTACTTTTGAACTGTGCAATATTGTACTACGATTCTTAAAGCACTGCTTTTATTTGAATGGTGAGGAAAGGGTTTTTAGCATTGTAAAACTGCGTTTCTTCATGTTGTGCAAAATAAAATAAAAAATAATTAAAAGCGAAGGAAAGTGAGAAGAGAGGAGCAGGGCATGGGAATTAGCATCGGCCCGGCTTGTGCGAATAAATAAGGGAGATTCGGTGAGCTGGGCGCTTTAAGTGAAGGACAATCAACTTTAGGGTAATTTTAATTTATTTGATATGATGTACAGTTTTCTTCTAAAGTCCATTGAGTATGTGGATTTTAATAGGCAGAAATCAAGTGAGGAGTGGACACCTCTAGTTCTCTCTCTGTCTTAGTGTCTGCTCACCTGTTGTCTGACAATTGTTTGCTGTCTTCCCAAGGGTTTGGGTTGGTTGGTTTCTTTTCTTTGTTTGATTTTAAATTTTTGTTTTCCTCTTTCGGTTGTACCCTCTGCCCTCTCGCTTTCTGTTAGGGATCGGTCCTATTTTTAAAACAGCCTATATTGTTATAAACTTAATGTTGTGGTGGAAAAAAAAAATAATTCAATAAAACCCGTTCCTTATCATTTTGAAAGTGTGGTTTTGGGCGGACAAAAAAAAAAAAAAAAAAAAAAAAAAAAAAAAAAAAAAAAAAAAAAAAAAAAAAAAAAAAAAAAAAAAAAAAAAAAAAAAAAAAAGATAAATAAACAACAAAACGTGAAAATGAAAAAAAAATAGAAACAACAGAATAAACAATCCAAGGGTTGTCTGTGAGCGCAGGGCACGGAGCCGATCCCGCCGGGGCTCCTTGGGGATCCAGAGGCTCCCTCCGCCGGGGGAAGGGGATGGGCGGCGGGGGGACTCTCGGTAGCCCCGGCTCGGCGGGGTCACGGTGCCCGGCTCAGCCTCCGGGGGAGCCCCCCGGGACCGCGTGGGGACAGCGGGGGGGTCCCGGGGGTCCCTCCCCACGGGAGCGCCGCCTCCCCTCCCCGAGGGCTTCCCCTGAACTTCTGCCGCCCCTTCCTCCGCGCCCCCCCGGTGCTGCCCCTGCCTTCCCTTCGCCCCCTCCTGCGTGTCCAGCCCCTCTCTCTGCCCACGGCCGGGGCCGTCACGCGTGGGAAAACCGCCGGCAAGGTTCTTCGCAGATAGGATCGCTCTCCGCTTCCCGCAGATTGGCCCGAATCGACGTGTTGATAGCGCCGAAGGCAGGATTTGGGGCCAAAGGAATCAAAATAAAACTCAGCCTTGCGAAAAGATAATCCCGCGTTTTCTTTTCGTTTGGGATAAAAACCCTGGCAATGGGTCGTAAATGAAAAATAAACAGAGTTTCGGGGTCAAAATACGGTGCTGGCTGTGTCGCCAACAAACAGAGCGATGCCTTTGCTGTTTGCAGTACCAACTTTGGGACAAGTCGCTTGCAACCCATTAAAAATATTGTTGTCATAGTAAATACGTCTTTCCATTTTACAGCGCGGCAGCACGATGTTATCAAACGGCAAGGGAAAAAAAGCTCATTTATTTCTGGTCAGTGCTCAGAAAACGATTCCGGACCCTCCTGGCCCTTTCCCGGCAGAGGAAGGAGCCGATGGACACCAGCGCGGCTCCGGCCCCGCAGCGCGGCCTTTGCGCGGCTGCGGGCAGCGGGCAGCGGCTCTCCGTGCCCATCCGGGACTGTCAGAGGCATTTCCCGGGGAAACGATGATTTTGGTGGGGTTGATGGGGCTCAGCAGGATTTTTTTTTAATTATTAAGCAGAGAAAAAGAAAAAAAAAAAAAAAAAAAAAAAAAAAAAAAAAAAGAAACCAAGCAATCTAAGCAGATCGCAGCTTTTCTGCTTCCCGCTGTTCTTGCACATCGCGGGATCGACAGCGGGCGGGTGCTGTGAAACCTGGCGGTGAAGTTGGGCCGTGGGCTGAGGGCCTGTGAGCCCGGTTCTCTGCCCCCCGAGCCGCCCCTCTCCCGCAGCCCGGCCGGGAGGGACCGCTCGGAGCGGGATGCTCCTTTCCGTCCGCATCAGCTGCAAGCCGAGCCCGGCGCTCAGGCTTTCCGCAAGCCTTCAAGAGGTGTCCCCAAACTCCATTCTATCCCTCTAGGATCCAGCGAAAAGCGAAGCGAAGGGTTCCGTTTCTCCCTTCGAGGAGAAAAGGAGCGAGGGCTCCGCCAGCCCGGGCGCTCCCCGCTGCGCTGCGCCGCGCCCGGGCGGGGAGCGCCGGCCTGGAGCGGGACAGGAGCGGGACAGGAGCGGGACAGGAGCGGGACAGGAGCGGGACAGGACCCCCTCACCCCCTCCTCCCACACTTCGGCCCTGCTTAAAGTTTCTGGAGATCCCGCATCACTCTGGGATGGAGTGAAAGCAATCGCCTTGAGTGGTGGAAAGGAAATCATCTTTACAGAAACAAAAACTGTCGGGCGGGGAGGCGGGTGCGATTCAAAGAAAGTTGTTTCGATCCTCCCGGCTGTTGGCAACTCCGCGACCACTCGTGTTTACTGCTGCAACCGCGCTCGGCAAATCTCTGCCTTTGTTTGCAATTCGAGAGATAACGCGGTTCTTCTCGGCCACTGTTTTGAGCAGGGCTGAACAGAACTAGCTCGCCTGTTTGTGGTCGAAACACACATGTATTTCTTTTATTTGGTAGTAAATAGGGGGTTGCTGTGTACAGCAAACAGCGGGGGGAAAGATATAAACTTCTCGGCCACCAGATTTGGGGATTCAGAGGAGTTTTGCCTTCCGGAGGGCTGCAGTAGGGAGCCGGCCGGCCCCCTCCAGCAGCCGCACGCTCCCGGCGACCCACTTTGGGAGGTTGGTATTTTTTATCCTAATTATTATTGATAATATTTTTTTTTTTTTTTAGCGGAATACTTTCAAATTTTCTGGTACAGGTCGGTGGGAAATGTTTGATTCTGCTGTCAATGTCTGCGACGTGCAGAGCGGGCGGCAGAGGTGGGGACGGACGGAGCCGCTCCGAGGGAATAATTCCGCTTTAAAATAGTGGTGGAAAACCCTGTGGGTTTTGGGTTTCAGGGTTTTGTTAGGTTGTTTTTTTTTTTTTTTCCCAAATATGCTGCAAGTGTCTCTGTAATAATCACTTTACTCTATCGACTTGGCATAGTGTGCTAACGGAATGAGAAGACCATTAAGAGCATTAACAGATTGGTACAGCATAATGCTTCAGTTCATATTGATCGTAAAACGTCTGTAAAATATTGTTTCAAATGAATCTATTGTTCCTGCGCTCTTTCGGCGGTGTTGATGACCTTGGTTTGTTCTCCCACATCCAAATTATTCTCTCGCCGCTCCCATATGATTGGGGACCGGCCAGTGGGACCTGTCGCCGCCGTCCCCGCGGACCTTCACCTACCCGAAAGCGTGGTTTGAAGGGTCAGAATCACCTCAAAAATAAGAAAAAAATTCGGAAACGTTTATGTAGGAGGGAAAGGACCGGGTGTGAGAGCGCCCTGCGTGCGGGGAGCGGCTCGCCCGAGCCTCCCTCCGCTCCGCGCTGGGAGCGGCTGCCGAGATAAAATTTCTCCCGGGATCACAGCCCCGGGAAGCCCCTAGAATTGCCTAGCAGAGACTTCTGAAGCTGTTTAGATGAATATCGGGTCGAAGGGGATGCAGACCCTGCGAGCCCACATCCCGCGGGGCCCGGGGCGCGGGGGGACCCCGGGGAGCGCAGCCCGCGCCCGGGGCTTTGGGTGACTCCGCCGAGCTGCTCGTGCATATTTTACCGCCCAAATCAGCCAATCCCCCTCGATCAGAGCGATGCCTCGGATTTCAAACTGCCTGGCCCCACTCCCCGCCTCGCTGGAAGGGGCCGTGGGACGCTGTCCCCCCGCGGGGACACGCGTGTCGCCCAGGCAGAGCTCGGAGCGGCCCCGCCGGTCACTCCCGCGGCCGTGGGAAGCGGCCGCCGGGCAGGAATGAAACCTCCGCTTCCCTCAGGTTTGGTCACCTGGTCTCGGCTCTCCTGAGCTCCGATATTTTAAATAAATATAAAGAATCTCTTGCTCTCCTCAGCTCTATTCGCCTTCATGATAGAGTGGAACCATCAGATTTTCATCAAAGTTCTATTAAGTGAAACATAGGTTGCAGGGCACCCTCTGATTGAAACAGTTTAAATTTTAATTGTGTTTTTAATTTGACATATAGTTGCAGAAAGGAATGACACTACAACGCCAAGGGGCGGTCGATTTTCTTAATTTCTCCCAGAGGAATTGATGAGTCTATCAGGCCACTAGATTGGAAACACATTAAAGCTCTCTGGTTAGGTTGTTAATTGGAACTTGATGGATAGGAGGCCTTGGATAGGCTATGCTGATCCAATCTTCAT